AAAAATTTCATTTTTTCTGAAAAGGTGGTGTCTATTTACTTGTGACCATGCTGTGTATTGTCATCAAATAGAGCAGGATTGGATGTGGCGACACGGATCTAAAGATGTGTTGAGACTCCAAAATCATTTTGATATAATGTATTCAACATCTTTAGGGGTATCATCCAAAGACATGCTACTTATTCCTGAATATTTTTTTACCTGCATGTTTTGCAGTGGTGCAACAAACACTTTGTTAATTTTATTTTGTTTTACTGTAGTTTTATTTTGCTTAATTTGTGACCTTTAGAGCAAATTAAAGTTTTCCCACTGATATCAAAGGATGAATAATATATCTTGGTATAGCAATTTCCATCACAATTGCAACTATTTTGTGTGTGTGTGTAATTGTATGTAGTAGACTTTTAAATAATGTAATTTTTGTCTCTTAAACTAGTGTAGTATTTGTATTTTTCAGACAAATAGTACACAACATAGAAGCACACGTTCGTATAGTGGATTTGTTGTTACGTAAGTGTGACTGGGGTGAGAAAATGCCAGTTTTTGATCCAGCTACAGGTATTGTAATAAAGAAAAACATGAATTTTGTTGTGATATCTTTTGTGAAGTCTCTATAAGTTATCTCAAGGTATTTGTTGATGGCTTTTATTTGCGGAATTGTGCAAACAAGTATGCTACTAATTTAGGTTTATATCCTAAGAATATTTGCAGATAAGAAGTTGTTTATGTTGGAATTGTAATAGGGATGCACAGGTAGTAAAATCTGGCCGGGTACCCGGTCACTAAGCCAGGCCCGGGTGTCAACTGGGACTGAGTTCTCCCCCCCCCAAAAAAAAATTACACAAAAATTAGAAACAAAAACAAAATTGACGTTTATGACATTTAACCGAATAACCACCAACAGAACATTCAAGTTTTACTTTCAACTATCAATGCCGAGCCCCAACTTCTCAAACCCCAACCCCTATTATTCTCAAAACCTCCACCTACCCCATAAACCCACTTCTCAAGCCATGCCTGTTATTAACCCCTATTGTTCTCTGAATTCCCGACTTTCAGCGGGCAGTCAGTCTTTGTTGCTCGGAACAACTTTTTTTTAACTAAACCAATTATTGACTGCAACTCTCAGTACTGCGTTAGTTGCCACAAAGATTAGGGCTTAGATACCTATCTTTGACACTCGGCCAGAGCCGATTATCTGGACGGGTACCCGTACATCCCTAATTTGTAATATATTAAAAAAGTAATTTTAGTTTTGACTACTCGATATTTCCTGATAGCTAATTTATCAAATGCCTCTATTTGTTTTTAAAGACAAGTTAATGAAGTTGAAAGAACCATCTTATTTAAGTAACATTATATTTTAAAGGTAAGAGAGTAAAAAGTACTTATGCTAATCTGGTAATGCTAAAAACATTTCAGATGATCCCAAGTTCATCTTTGAAGAATGGCTAATTATAATTTTTAGTTTAAACATCTCTTAAAAAAAACATAGTTCTAAAATATAGTGATATAGATATAAATGCGACCTTTATTAGTAAACCTTTTTTTTTTTTGTATTATCAAATTCTCAATTTATAGGGTGCTCGAGATTGTCTGGCTTTGTAGTTTGTTCATCCTAGTGATTTTGTCTTTTTTTATTTTGGATTTAATTATAAGAAGAAAACAAAATATTTCTCATGAATCCATTAAGCTTTGAAGTCTGGTTTTTCATTTCATGCATTTTTTTGAATGCAATTTAATAACCGCTAACCAAGAAAATAGAATATAACGTGTTTGTGAGTAAAAAGGAGAAAAAGTGTATACACAATTAGAAACTTAGACATGTAAGACAGTATTCTTTAAATGTCTTGAATGGATGTGAATCAAAGATAAAAAGTAAGATATTGAAAATTTTCCCAAGCAGTAGTCTAAAATATATAACTAATGTACTGATACAAAACTTAGATATTTATCACGAATTTAAAGTGTATGGTATTAACACAAGTCAAATTGTCCTAAGACCAATCAAGGTGTGTGTAGCTCAAATTAAACTTTCTTGAGAATATTAAAACTTATTAGCCAGTTCATGTAAAAAGGCATCCATGTTTGTCCCAATTAAAAACTAAGATGGCATAATATATGTTTCTGGAAAGAAAGATCAGATGCCATGGTACTAAGTTACCGTACTCTTAATACTGCGTCCACAAACACACAAGAAAAATACAATTATTGTCATTTGTATTTTAACCAAAGGTGTACTAAGGGGTAAACAAATGGATGTAAGGCGTGTACAGAAGTAGAGCAGTATGCAAGCCACAGTATGCAAGTGCATGCTATCGGCTCCCTAGGTGTCACAGCAAACGGAGAAATGCATTGGGCTAGCATAATTGTAATTCTGAACTTTGAAGGTGCAGACAGGTCTGCACTTGAATGAGCCAGATGTACAAAATATGATGCTAAAATAATTGGTCTTTATAAAGAGGAAATCAAAGTATCTTTTTATCGTGATGTGTCTGAATAATGCTACGAACTTTCAGTTAAACAGATGGTCATGTAGTTAGAGGCAGACAACCCATGGTTCCAAACTTTCATCGATTTACGAGATAGCTATGTGGCTATCTTATTACTAAGCAGTAAAAGCACATGTTGACATCCATGTCCAGTTGTCAGGATAGCACTGAAGAGCAAGGTCAAAATGTTTTGAACTGTGCAGGACATGATGAAAAAGTTTCTGCCAATGATATGGAACATAATGACACTAGGACTAGTATTGTGGCCAAGACCAAATGAAGCTGGTACTGGTAAAAACTGTTCAGTTTTCAACACCAAGAGGTACATGTTGAGGTGTGGACAAGGTATACAAAGATCCTTTATTTGACAATTTCCTAGAGATCTGACATTGAGGTGTGGTCAAGTTATACAAGAATGTTCTACTTGACCATTTCCTAGAGATCTGACATTGAGGTGTGGTCAAGTTATACAAGAATGTTCTACTTGACCATTACCTAGAGATCTGACATTGAGGTGTGGTCAAGTTATACAAGAATGTTCTACTTGACCATTACCTAGAGATCTGACATTGAGGTGTGGTCAAGTTATACAAGAATGTCCTACTTGACCATTACCTAGAGATCTGACATTGAGGTGTGGT